TCCCGCCTCAGCCTCCCCAGGGCTGGCATTACAGGCAGGAGACATGATGCCTGGCTGTACTCTCACATACACAGGGCCATGGAGACAGTGCTCCCCTCTCTGTGTCAACACTGTTTCTTCTAAGGAATCGGTGCATCTCATGTAGGTTGTCGGATTAATTTCATAAGGTTGATCATAATATTCTCTTATTCTGTAACATGTAATGTCATGCTTAGTATCAGAACGATACCTTCCTTTTTAATTACTGATGTCCTATTTGTTATTTCCTTCTCCTTGGTCAGCTTGGCTAGAGGGTGTCAATATTGTTCAATTCTGTAAATATTCAATTCTTTTTTTATTATCAGCTGTATATTTGCTCGGCTTTCTTCTAACATCTTGCGTGTGATGTTTTAACAGTAGCATGAGATGGAACTTGAGAATGTGGGTTTTGAGTCCGCCTTCTTTTCTACCACAGTCTTTACAGCCACAAGTCTCCACATCAGCTTTGACAGCTGCACCTCACAAAGTTCCCTGTGCTGTACTGAAAATCCTCTCAGCTGACATCAAAGAGATTAGCGTCATCTCTACCCAACCAATGGATGGAGTGGTTTGGTTCATGGGTGAATTGCGTAGATTGAGTCTTCAATGTCAAACTAACCTTGCATTCTGGGGATAACCTCACTCCCACCACAAGATCACATTCCATTCCCACATCTCCCTCCTGCTTCCCCTTCACGGTCACCTCATCCCTATCTCATAGCATCTGGACCCAAAGATCTGTCCTCAACCTCTGTCTGTCTCTCTGGAATATTACAGATAAAAACCCACTGCATGTGACCTCTCTGGACTGATTAAGTTCGTTCAGCATGATGCCTTTGAGAGCAGTCCACATGCTGTCTCTGTCAGCAGATTGGTCCTTTTCAGTGGTAGCTAGTACTTCACTGTGTGGACACACCATAGTTTGCCCTGTCCTTTCTAGTTCTAGACCATTCTAAAGTAAACTCACCTGTAAGCTTTAGTATGATCCCATGTTTGCATTTCTGCATGTACATCTGAAAGAAATTGCAGGACCATATGCTAGTTTGTATGTCAACATAAGAACTTGTAAACTATTTTCCAAATACATGTACACCCTACTGTGTTCCCCCAGCAGCACATATGAGTTGCTATTATCTAACAATGCCTGGCTGTTGTCTTGGGCATATGGCGTCTGACATTCCCTAGTGGCTGGGACGTTCCTGTGTGCTTCTGAGCTTGGCTGCCACCCACACGTCTTCCTCAGCCATGTCTGTTTAAGTACTTTGTTCGTGTCCAATGGTTGGTTTGCTTTCTTGATGTGAAGGGTTGAGGTTTGACTTTAGTGTTGTTCCTGTAATTTGAAATGCTTTTTCAATGCAGAGCTTGCTTTTGTGTTCAGCTGACCGTGTCCTACATAGCTGTTCTTTCTGTGAGGAAGTCAACCCACTAATTTCCTTCACAGGGTTATTCCTTGCTGGCAGATCTTAGAAGTGCCTTGCCACCCAGGTCATGATAATCCTTCCTTTGTTCTCACCTCACTGCTTTGAGATCAGCAGGAAATTGGGGCCTGCAATCCTGTCAGAGCTGACTTTGTGAGGAACGCCCAGGTTATCATCAAGGTCTGCTGACCTGCCTGTGGTTGGCAGCTGATCCAGTGCCGTGGGTCAGAAGGGTGTCTTATCTCTGGAGACTGCTTTTGTACCTTTGTCAGAAACTCCATTTCATTTGATAAAAGTTATTTTACTGAGAAAGTTAGCATTGTCAGCAGCTGGGACTTGGCCCACCTGAGGACCCTCTGAGTCACAGGGTGGGACATTTCATGTTATCTCAGGGGGAGGAAAAGGCCAGACCCATTATCCTGTCAGTTCTCATCCCCGCTGACTGTGTGTTAGCCAGGTTTCCATCATTGCCTTAGACACTTGAGAGGACAACTTGACAGGAGGAAGGATTTATCCTGGATCCTGGTTCCAGGGGTTCTGCCCACGACTGTTTGGTCTTATGGTTGAGGGCCTGTGGTGAGTCAGAGCATCACGGCAGAGAAGATGGAACAGCTGGCCATCTCATGGTACCAAGGAAGCAAAGAGAAGGTTAAGATGCCTGGATAAGATTTAGTTGAAGGAGGTGCTCTCAGTGACCAATTTCTGCCAGCCCCGGCCTTGGTCTGAAGAGTCTCCTAAAATTGGGGCACCAGCTTGGAATAAGGCTTCCACACATGAACCTGTGGGGGACACTTCAGACCCATCTGTGACAGAGTGGTTATCAACTCACACCTGCTCTTCAAGGCTGTGGGTCAGAGAAACACAAAAGAATAATGCAGGCACTTGACCCGGAGTCAGTGGGTCAGGAAGTGTCTATTACAGCTTCAGGGGACTCTGAGGGTTGGCCACCAGTACTGTCAGCCACAGCCTACTGTGGACACCGACTCTTTAGGCTTTAAATGGAGTCCACAACTGGGCTTTCAAAATGTGGGAGACACAGTCTCTGAAATGGTTTACTAGACAGTCATGGGGACAAGCTGTAACCCACTGTGTGGCTGCTTTGTAGTCTTTGACATTCCTTTGACTCACACTTTCTAGATGTGCTCAGCTCTCGCCAGCCACCTTCTGGCTTGGTGCTGTGGTGAGAGCCTTCAAGATCTCCTTACATGTAAATGCCGTGTAAAGCGCAGACACTGGCCCTCCAGTGAGTATCTAGAGAAGAGCAGCCCCATGAAGCTGGGACTTGCCTGAGAATCAGAGGCAAGGGTGGCGAGGTGACCAGAAGCAGTCAGTCCCACAGCAACTGACCCCAGAAAGTGACGGAGTGGCGAGGTGACCAGAAGCAGTCAGTCAGTCCCACAGCAACTGACTCCAGAAAGTGACGGAGTGGACAGGTGACCAGAAGCAGTCAGTCCCACAGCAACTGACCCCAGAAAGTGACGGAGTTCCCCAGGGAAATACTTCAGGCTGGGCAGCACTGGGGATGGGAAGCTTCTCTGTCTTGCTTTACCTTCTCCCAGTGGTGGCCCTGGAATCTGTACTGCGTCTGCCCTCAGTGAACTATAACCTCAAGTCCCAGGCCCTGTCCACCGTGGCCTGGCCCCAGGCCCTGTCCCACCTAGAGCTGAGCGCTGTCCTCCATACACACTGCTCTTCTCCTAGCAGAGCAGCTGTTTATCTTCGTCAGAGAGACTTCGGCTACTCGCAAGAGACTCAGCATCTGGCCTCTTGACTGTTAATGTTTAGTCATGGAAGGGGGTGTTGGGAGAGTTACTGGATCCTCATCGGAGATTCTGGTTATTCTCTCCTGTATCTCCCACCCCCCCTAAAAGTAGTTCTGACCTAATGACATGTGGTCTCCTGGTCTCAGGAGGTGCTAGAGTATATATACACTGTGAAGGGTTTAGTTGAGGAAAGGATGGAGAAGTCATCATCTATGCTGGGTGATACTGTCAAGTGGAAGGGATGCTTTAGGCTCACCCATGCTCTGTAAATAAAGCCCAGTAAACTCATTGGTTTTCCAAGTTAGAAATTGGTGGAGTGATACTTTGATTTGTCATGGGTACCCATCTGATGGGGGAGATATTTGCTCATGTCTCCCCAGTAAATGTTCATGCAACCTACCCATTCCAATTAGTGTCTGTTGCCACTTTACTTTGACCACTACCTACAAACAGAGGGAGAACTGGGAGAATTCGGACCCTGGGACATAAGTAAGGGAGGTGGACAATAGCAGGCCTCTGGACGGCTCCACCGGCACTCAGAGCACCACTGGCGTCCCAGGATCTGCTAATCACGTGTCTTGTCCACCCCCCCTTGTCTCAAGGGGTTGAAGCACGTGTACCTATGTGGTAAGGTGATTAGATAAATGATTCATTCATGCAAGCAGAAGAAAACATGTCAGGTAGAATGAGGACTATCAATGACATGGAATTGCTAGCCTGCTTCCTAACCTGTGCTCTCAAAGAGCACAAGGACCCACATTATCACATCCAGGTCGTAGCTGCTTCCTGCTCAGCAGCAGCTTTCATGGTGGAGACCCAGGACTGGTTCATGCTGGTGCTTTCGCACAACTCCAGAACATGTTAGAGAAAGTTCATTAATATTGTTTATAGACTCTTAGATCTGCCTGATCTTGGTCCAGAGAGGCACCAAAATGCTATTGTGGGCCCAGAACTTGTCTCCAGGGACTAGGTCAGTTGGGTCTCAAGGAAGGAGATGAGCTCAGGAGCCGCATTGCAGGGTCAGAAGTAAAAAGCCAAGTTCTTGTTGAGGAGGTAGCTGGGCTGAGGTACACACACACACACACACACACACACACACACACACACACAGAGAGAGAGAGAGAGAGAGAGAGAGAGAGAGAGAGAGCAGCCATAATGAACTCTGAACACATCTGGTGCCATGTGAACTTATTGACCCAAAGGGAATGAGATCTGGCCCTGTTGAGAGCAAGTGGGTGCCCAGAGCTAATGAGAAGGGAAGCTGTGGACTCCAGAGGAAGGAAGTTCAACAGGAGCACAAGGGTGGGCTCAGGACAGGCTGAGGTGGACCCTGGTTCTTCATCCCACCTCAGGGCACAAGATGGCAGTAAATGAACACACATGGGCCTCAGTTGTACCAGGGCAGCCCTGGCTCTGAAAATGTCCTCTCAGCAGGTCCTCGGATGACAAGAGCAGCAGAAGGTCAAGCTCCCTTGTTGGAGATGAATCCCCTTGAGCTCACACAGGTGACCCCCCCCTTCACTGATTCCTTCAGGGGACAAATTCATGTGTGACTGGAATCCTTCATGCGGCCAACTTAAAATTGTGAACTACGAAAACTGAACCCTAACTGGTGATTGAGTAGATGGACATTGGCCAGTTAGTGAAAAAGGACCAAGACATCTGGAGTAAGAAGTGTCCTGCAGAGCACACAGCTGGCCTCGGTGCAGAATGAAGTGGGTCAGGGTCAGGGTATCACCTAGTGCGGCAGGGGGTCTACCCTGAAGATGTTTAAACTGACTAGAGTCAGGAGTTTGTGTTCCCACTTACAGGAAGGTCCAGGTGGGGTATCCATGCAAGGACAGGATAATGAAGTGGTCTCCCTCCCAGGCAGGGGCCAAGCCATCTGGAAACAAGCAGACACTCTCTGGTGGTGAAGCTCAGCCCCATCCTCAGCAGCAGGAGGTCAGAAGCCAGGTCTCAGGGAAGCCATGGACAGATGGAGGGCAGGGGTGTGAAGGGAAGCCTGGCCCTCCTCCCTGCCCAAAGTGCAACCTCCCTGCCCCTGAGTCACTCATCTTCCCAGGGTCCTTTGAGAGCACAACTCTTGGTGGTGCAGACATTGCAGGGCATTGTGTGTCTTTCTTCATCTGTAGGTGACATTGAGTTGATATTCATCAGATCCCAACAACAACAACCTTCCACTTCCATGATGGATGTGGATTTGGCCATGATAGAAGGGCAGGAGGGACGTGGCCAGTGCCAAGTGGGCACACATCCCTGGCCATGGGGGATATAAAGGGCACCCTGTGAGGATGCGGAACAGATATTCCCCAGGTGACCTGCCTTGTGTGAGAGCCCAGTGACTGAAGATGAAGAACCTCCTGATCCTCTTGCTTCTGGGGCTGGTGGCTGTCCTGAAGGCCCAGGAAGTCCCATTGGATTACCAGGAGGAGGTGAGGAGGGGAGGGGAGGTAGGACGAAGGCACAACCCTGGTTGGTGCTGGAAGACTTGTTCACGAGGTGTCCTTGAAGACTGAAGTCCAATCTTGCACCCCAGCATGAGATGGTCAGATCAGGGACTCTACTGTTTCACCGGCAGATGGAGCCTCTGCAGGAGTTCAGGCCTGGAGCTGGGGAGTAGGTTTTGGGCATGGGTCTTTGTTCATGAGACTTGGGCTACTGGAAGGCTTCGTAAGGTGGGATCTTCAGGACAGAGGACTTATCCAGTGCTGAGTTCCAGACCTCTAAGAGTGTGTACTTAGAAGGCAGGCAGCCTCCTCTTTCACTGGGCCAGAGAACCCAAGTGGTGGGCTCTCTCTCCAGTGGGTATGTGTGGGGATGTGTGGTGTCAGCCCTCTGCAGAGCTGCAGCCTGGGCTCTGGAGTGTCTGTTCGGGCTCCGGGCTCAGGTACTGGAGTCTGGGGAGAATAAGAGACAGACTGGGTGTGTTCAGGGCTCTGTCGTCCGCAGCTTTCTGGGACCTGGCACATAAAGGCCTTGGTATGTGACAAGGACCACACGGAGAGGGAGGGCCCCAAGAAAGTGTTCCCTATGACGGTAACAGCCCTGGAAGGTGGGGACTTGGAGGTCGAGATGACGTTCTGGTGAGTGTCCCTGCCAAGTCTTTCCGTTCTCCATTCTTGTTTTGGTGTTGGTGATGGAATGCCCCTGCCTTTGAGGAGCCATGGCGCCAGGCAGGACTCTAAATCTTGGGCAGGGCTGATGTGAAATTTTGGGGTCACCTGGTCAGGGCTGATACCCCTGGTAAGCTGATCATGGCTCCTGTTTTACAGGAAGAAGGGTCAGTGTCACAAGAAGAAAATTGTGATGCACAAAACTGAGGAGCCCGGCAAATACACTGCCTGTGAGTCCCCCGTGGCCCAGGGTCTCCTGCAGGGGTGATTTCCTGCCTTGTTCACCCCAGCATGGCCATCCACTCATGGTCCATGTACCAGACACTAGAGGTCGTGGGTTAGTCCACCCCAGGTACTGACTGACTGTGTTCTGCGCTCCCCCCCACATCTCCCACACACAATCCCCCCCACCTCCATTTTAGCTCTCAACCCAATGCTAAGTACAGGAAAGCAGGGCAGGGAGGTTCTCAGGCCTGGAGCCAACCTCAGCCCTCACTTCCTCTGGAATCTTAGCAGGTCCTGGCAATGTCCTGGGAAATGGCTTCTGTCTAATTATGGAGATCACAGAGAGACAAGAGCTGGACTGGCTGGGTCTCCTGGGAGACCACAAGTGCTCCAGAGTATTCCTTTGAAAAACCTCTAAAAGTTTTGTAAAGAACTGCAATGTTAAGAGATATTTCTCTGTTTGCCTGTAGTCAAGGGCAAGAAGGTCATCTATATTCAGGAGCTTTCTGTGAAGGACCACTACATCTTCTACTGTGAAGGACAGCATCACGGGAAGTCACGTCGCATGGGGAAACTCGTGGGTGAGGAACCACAGAGATGCCATGTCCTGTGCATGGTCTCTGCTTCTAATAGCCATAAGAAGGGCAGTAGACATGCCAGGCACTGGGAACTGGGAAGCCGCAGGGTGCTGCCCAGGCGGTACATAAAATCCAAAGTGGAAAGTGGGTCAGCTGGGAGGGGACCCTGCTCATGTGACCTTTGGAGGCCTGAGCACTCAGGAGGTGTTCCCACCCTCCTGGAGCTGGCAAATGCCATTTCCAGGGGTCTTAGGTAACTGCTGGTCAATATGAAGGGACAGCCCCATGTATCTGTGTCTTAGTCAGGGTTTCCATTGCTGTGAAGAGACACCATGACCATGGCAACTCTTTCTTTGTTTTGTTTTGTTTTTTGAGACAGGGTTTCTCTGTGTAGCTTTGGAGCCTTTCCTGGAACTCACTCTGTAGCCCAGGCTGGCCTCGAACTCACAGAAATCTGCCTGCCTCTGCCTCCTGAGTACTGGGATTAAAGGTGTGAGCCACCACCACCCAGCTGCATGGCAACTCTTATAAAGGAAAACATTTAATTCAGTGGCTAACAGTTCAGGGGTTCAGTCCATTATCATCATGGTAGGACATGACATCATGCAGGCAGACACGGAGCTGGAGAAGGAGCTGAGAGTCCTATATCTTGACTTGCAAGCAACAAGAAGTGATCTGGGACACTGGGCATGACTTGAGCGTATGCGAGACCTCAAAGCCCACTGCCACAGAGACACATTTCCTCCAACAAGACCACACCTCCTAATAGTGCCACGCCCTAAGAGCTTATGGGGCCTAATTCCATTCAAAGGGCCGCACTCTGAGATCCAGGGCTCTTACTGGTTTGGGGAGTGACCCTGAAAGCCTCTTAAGGTTTCCAAAGAGCCCCCTGGATCACTCGGTGTCTGGGCGTCCCCAGCCCAGAGCTGCTTGTCCACAGCCGGGGTCTGCTTCCCTCTCCTCCTGACTGCTCCAGGTTGACAGGCCCAGTGCTGGTCAGTGCTCTTGACCTTTGCCACTGGTTCCCTCCAGAGCTCTGCATCACTACTGCCCTGCTCACCTGGCCCTCTCCCCACAGGGAGAAACCCTGAGGAAAACCCAGAGGCCATGGAAGAATTTAAGAAATTTGCACAGGGCAAGGGATTACGACAGGAAAACATCTTGGTGCCTGAGCAGAGGGGTGAGAGCGGGACTGCCCACGCCCCTCCCCCCACTCGTTTCTCCTCTCTGAGAGCACCCTGTCTCTGTTCTTTGTCTCCACTGTCCCTCACACCTCTGCATGTTCCTGTATGTTTCTGGGCACCTTATGTGTTTGTGTGTCACTCTGTTACTCATGTGTTTTTGCCTCCCACAAACCCCACTGTCCCCCCACTCCCAGGGCACCAGAGCCCAGCTTCAAGTTTTGGTTGTGGAAGGGTCTGAGCTGCAGGTGTGATGGGGCCCTTACCCAGAGCTCCTTCTCACCCCTGGCCTTTTCTTGGTTTCTGCAGATCAGTGCACCCCTGAGAGTGACTAGGGTAAGTGGCCCTCTGGGAGGACTATGTGCTTTGATCCTTATCTCATCCACTTGGGCCAAAATGGTCTACTCAAGAAGTGATCCCTGCCGGGCGGTGGTGGCACACGCCTTTAATCCCAGCACTCGGGAGGCAGAGCCAGGCGGATCTCTGTGAGTTCGAGGCCAGCCTGGTCTCCAAAGCGAGTTCCAGGAAAGGCGCAAAGCTACACAGAGAAACCCTGTCTCGAAAAAAAAAAAAAAAAAAAACCAAAAAAAAAAAAAAAAAAAAAAAGAAGTGATCCCTAGTCTATTCCCTGGACTCTGCCCTTCGCACCGTTATATTCCCCTACCTCCCACACCCAGGGATACTCGGATATTTGACAGATCATGAGTGTAAGAGACAGGATCACTCTTGTACTGTGGCCTCGGAGCAATGACTGCACAAATGCTTCAGAATAGAACACTTCTGGCCAGCGCCTGCCACTCACCTCTGTTCTCTTTGCCAAAGCAGCCGATCATGGATGCACTTGCTGGTCCTGCCCCAAGACCAACATCCTTGGACTTCCCTCCCCTGGACCACTTTCTCCACCATCACTGCTGAACTTCCCTCCTCCCTCAGCTCCACCCATCCCCAATACCAGCTGACTCCTAATAAAGCATCTCAGCATCATTCTGGCTCAGTTTGTCTGTAAAGGCCTTGCATTGGATGCCAAAAAGCTTTGACAGAGTAGAGCCTTGTGGATGTTGGGGAAGATTTTGGGCTCAGCAAAAGCTAGTTCCTGAAGAGCATGAACTATATTTTAGTCAGGGTTCTCTATAGAAACAGACATAACAGAATGAAACTATATATATATATATATATATATATATATATATATATATATATATATATATATATGAACAAAACCAAAACAGGACCAACTATTCCAACATGGCTGTTTCCTGATGGAAAATCCAAGAATCTAGTAGTTGTTCAGTCCATGAGGCTGGATGTCTCAACTAGTCTTCAGTATATACCAGAATCCTGAAAAGAAGGCTCTAATACCAGTGAAGAAATGAACTTGCTGGCAAGGGCAAGCAGGCAAAAAGCAAGCACTCCATTCTTCCACGTCCTTTATATGGGCTGCCACCAGAAGGTATGACCCAGATTTAAGGTGGATCATCTCACACTAAAAGATCTGGATTTAGGCGAGGTCTTCCCATTTCAAATAATTCAGTTAAGAAAAATCCCTCACAGGTGTGTCCAGTAGCTTGGGTTTAGTAGTCAAGTTGACAAGCAATAGCCATCACAACCATTCTGTAGGGACATCCTCAAGGCCCAACTGATTAGTTGTCATGGGCCATAAGACTATGCAGCAGATGACAACTGATAATCATAAGGTCAACCCACCAGATGAATAACTCTCTGATGGAGGAACCTCGTAAAGCAAGGCTTATGAGGTCACAGGCTGCTATGGATTCTAGTTGCTTCTGTCTGTAATTTTCTCATGTGCCACCACATTTCTCCCTTAAAACAGCTATGGGTGTTTCCCCCCACTGCCTGTGTATTTATCTTGTGAATATATTCCATCTACTGGGCTCACATGTATCTGTGGATAGTCAGGAAGATGATTTTTTCTTCAGCTGTATAATTTTGATGAATAAAAGTAATACTAGAATATACTTTCATAGCCAGACCTTTGTCTCAGAGTAAATTCAAAGTAAACTAGTTGCCCTTGCAAATGAATGTATAAGGAAGGACAAATTCCCAAGTGTCTGTTTGTTTAACCAAGGTCATGCACAAAGCAAATTTAGTAGACATAATTCCCTGCAGCAATAGGCTCTCTGCATGAACTCAGTTTTATGATACAAGACTCAATGTTCAGCCAACTAACTGTTTATTGTTCAGGTCCTGAAATTTACACAGGTAGCAGAATAGCAATTAATCTGGGGTTGCAGGCAGGATAGGACAATATATTTTTAGATTTGGAATGCTTTTAAGGTCACTGTCCCTTAGGGAAGAGCTGGGCACTGGGTGCTACATGCCTCCCACCCTCACTTTATAGGGAGTCTGGCTGACAGTCAAGCATTGCCATGTTTACTTATCATGCCTGGTCAGCTTGACAACCCTATCCTATGAGAAACTGTGTGATTTCTATGTGTTACCATCATGGCTCTGCTTCTTATTGTTTGTTTACTTGAGAAGTGCAATGTGACTATCAAAATGTAACTCATATATTGTCCAGAGTTTTTCTGTTGGATAGAGATATATAGCTGTGTGGAGCCAGAGAGATTTTCAGACAGATATTTTTTAAGATAAAGTAAAAAGGAAAGTTAGCATCAGTATGCATGTGTTTCTTTTCCAAATACCCCTCAGATAGAAAAGTTTAGTTCTCACTGACATTGTGGATTTTTTTGCAGACCTTGAGTGCAGTCTTAGAGCAGGATCTCCTAAAATCAGGCACTGGCCCACATGGCTTATCCCACATGGGCTATTGAGGTCACTCATCATTATTGCAACTAGGTCTGTTTATCTGTCCCTCTGTGCTTGTTTTATGAAATTTGGCACACAAATATTTGCATCTTCTTTTTAAATTTTTTTATGTTATGTGTATGAGTGTTTGCCTGCCTGTATACATGCATGGTGGCCAAGGAGGCCAGAAGAGAGCATTGGATCCTCAGAGCTAGTGTTAGAGATGATTGTGAACCATCACATGGGTGCTGGGAACCAAACCTGGTGCTCTGCAAGAGCAGTCAGTGCCCTTAACCCCTGAGCATCTCTCCAGCCTCTTATTGAATCCTCTTGGTGGATTGTTCCTGTTCTTAATATGTAGTGGCCTTGTTTATATTTTCTTACTAATTTTGGCTTGAGACTTACTTTGTCAGAAAGAGTAGAAACACTTCTTGCTTGGTTTTGCCTTCTATTTGCCTGTATTATGATTTTCATCCTTTTACCTTCAGCCTGTGTGTGCTTGTCAGTGAGACATGTTTCTTGCTACAGCAATAGCCAGACCTTGTGTTTGCATTCATACTGCAGTTGGAGAGTTAAGACCCTTTACATTTCAGGTTCCTATTGAGTGGGATTTTCTGATTCCTTCAATTTTGTTATTCTTCTTTCTTTGTAAAAGATTTTTATTTTCAATTTTGTGTATTGTGGGCCTATGTGTGGCCATTTTCACACATGTGTGGGTACCTACAAAGGCAAGAAGGGAGTGTTGGATCCCCTGGAGATGGAGGAGTTACAGGCAGTTGTCAGCTGTCTAATGTGGGTGCTAGGAACAGAATGTGGGTCCTCTGCAAGAGCAGGACATATCTATAACTGCTGAGCCATCTCCTCAGTCTCAATTTCATTGTCTTTTTTTTTTTTTTTTTTTTTTTTTTGGTTTTTCGAGACAAGGTTTCTCTGTGTAGCTTTGCGCCTTTCCTGGATCTCACTCTGTAGACCAGGCTGGCCTCGAACTCACAAAGATCCGCCTGCCTCTGCCTCCCAAGTGCTGGGATTAAAGGCGTGAGCCACCACCGCCCGGCTGTCTTTTTTTTTTTTTTTTAATATTATTGCTTGTTTTTTTTTCCATTTCCATTTCCTAGCACAGGAGGTTTGTTAGTTTACTGTGTTGGACATAATGGATGGTTTCTTTCCTGGCCCTCCTTAGTTTACCCAGTCTTTTTATAAAGTTTGTTCTTTTGCTCTTGAGATTGAGGCTGCATATCTTCCTTCTCTGTACACAGTATTCTTGAAAGTATCTTCTGTAGTGCATCCTGAGTGTTTGTGAATTGCTTCAGTGGTGCCTGTTCTGGAGGGCCTATATTTCTTAATCTGTTTTAGAAGATAACAGTGCTGGATATAATGATCTTGGTTAGCAGTATTTAAGAGTTTGGAATATATTGTTCCAGACTTCACTGGCTTTTAAGGCTTCTAATGAGAAGTTTGATGTTATTTTGATGGGTTTCCTTTTGTGAATTGGCATTTTTTTCTTTCAGTTTTTAATGTTTTTTTCTTTGCTCTGTTGACTTAGTATTTTAGCCACAATGTGTTGTGGTGAATTTCTTCTCTGACCACATCTATTTGAGATCCCAAATATCTCTTGTGGTGGTTTGAAAGAAAATGGCCCCCCAAAGGAGCAGCACTATTAGAGACATGCCCTTGTTGGAGGAAGTGTGTCACTGTGGAGGTGGGCTTTGAGGTCTCTTATGCTAAAGCTATGCTCAGTGTCACAGTTCACTTCCTGTTGCCTGTGGATCTGGATGTAGGGCTTTCAGCTCCTGCTCCAGCACCATGTCCTCCTGCATGCTGTCATGTCCCACCATGATGATAATGGACTAAATCTCTGAAACTGTAAGCCAGCCCCAATTAAATGTTTTCCTTTGTAAGAGTTGTAGTCTTTACAGCAACTGAAACTTAAACTATGACATCTCCTATGCCAGAATATCCATTTATTTCCCTAACTTGGAAGAATTTTTTGCTATGATTTTGTTACATGATTTTTGATGTTGTTCATTTGTGTTTCAGTCCCTCCTTTTTACTCTGTGGATTCTCAGTCTCTTGATCGTGTCAGAGTTCTTCAGAGAGGCTGGCATGTATAGGAGGAGCACAGCCAGTTAACCTGATAAAACCGTAGCTGCCCTGTCCTGGGTAGTGTGCATAGCCGTGTGTGCTAGCTACTTCTCTCTGAGCTGACTTGGAGTCTGCCGCTGCACCTGGTGATTGGTGATGCACGCCCATCAGAATGCTGGGGGCCAATGAGGAAGAGACAACACAGCTAAGACAGACTCCAGATGCTAATGGGAAATCAGGAGGGGGTATGTAGGTTGGCCTCATATCCACAATAAACAAGCCTGCTACGTGCTTCTCACCTGACTCCTGGTGTCTGTGTTGTTGACTCCACACCTTCTCTCCCCCTCCCTCAAGGGATGTCCAGATAGAGCAATCTGTAAACAGCCATGCTTATTTATTTTTCCTTTATTTATATCTGGATGGGTGTTTCCTCAACCTTATTTTCAAGTCCTGAAGTTATTTCTCCTGGAAAAAGAAGATCTAGTTTATCAGTGGTGATTTCTGCTGTGTTTTTGTCTGATTTATTTTTTATTTCCAGAATTACTGGTGTTTTTCATCACAGTCTAATTTTAATTTCTCACCCTTAATGTTGGCTTTCTAATCTAGGTTCTGGATTTATTTTCTTACTTCATTCATTTGCTTATTTGTACAGTGTTGAAAGCTACTGATCATTTTTGCAAGTAGAGTTTTGAATTGAGAGAGAGAGAGAGAGAGAGAGAGAGAGAGAGAGAGAGAGAGAGAGAGAGAGCTGCTTATTAGTTGAAATGGATAAACTCTTCAAGTTTTGTTTGGGGGTCTTGTTGGTGAGCACTCTTCTCTTGAGAGCTTAACTGCAAGTATCCCTCAAAGAGGAAAAAAGACCTTGCCATGATAGTAGCAATAGGAAACTTTCTAGAAGTGCACCCAAACCAACTGAAGTCAATTACTATTCTACCACCAACCACAGAAAAGAGAGTGGTTGCCCTTGTCACAGAGTAAGCTATGAAGATAAAATTTATTTAAGGTAAAAAGAGAACCAGTGATTGAATGAAGGAGGGCTGGGGCAGGGCTAGGAGGGTTAGAACACTTGCCCCAGAAGCCTAAGAATCTGAGTT